TGCCACACTGCGGCAATCTCACAACCCCAACAGGGCTGAACCTGATCTCTTAATCCCAGAACCTTAGCCAGGCTTTAATGGAGATATCCCCATAGAAAGGAGCAGTGCCTCTGAGCCTGTGCAGAGTGCCTCTCCCTCAACGCAGGGCTCCATAAAGCGAGAGACCCAGAAATGAGGGGTGCTGTGGAGACCTCAGGCCCTCTCCCGCAAGGGACTCCAGGTCCCATCATCATCATCCCCCCACTCACCGGGACCTCTGGAGCTCGAAGGCGGGGGCCCCCTGTCCCTGGTCGAGGCAGCCATAGCCCTGAGGAAGAGGAGGAGGAGGAAGAGGAGGAGGAGGAGGAGGAAGAGGGCCTGTCCGGGCGAAGGAGGCGGCGATGGCGGGGTTGAGGATTCCCTGAGTGAAGGAGCTGAGGCGGCCTCTGGCGCTGAGGGGCCCCGAGCAAGAAGCCCAGGAGGAGGAGGAAGATGGAGGAGGAGGAGGAGGAGGAGGAAGGCCAGGCACCTGCCCGCTGCTAGCAAAGGCATCTTCGTCGTCGTCGTCGTCGTCGTCGTCCTCGGCCCCCTCTTCATCCTCGCCCCCGCCTTCCCCCTGAGGGCTCCTGGCGTTGGAAGTCCCATGTTGCTGAGGGAGAGGCGCCGGCGGGGCGGGGGAAGGGGAAGCGCCAGCGCCGAGGCTGAGGCGAGTCCTGGCCGAGCTGTGAGGGAAGCTGCTGGCGTTTGCGGCCCCGCCGGCCCTCTCTCTTTCTCTTTCTCTCCCTCCTTCGCCGCCGCCGCCGCCGCCCTCGTCGTCCTCCTCCTGCAGCACCGGACGCCCGTCCAGGGAGATGTTGCTGAGGAAGGAGAGCGCTGCCTGCCTCCGACGGGGGTCCATGCGCGGAACTACGGGCGCCGACGCCGACGCCGACGCCGCCTGCTTCCTCAGGCAGGGGGGCTCCAGCTGCGGGGGGAAAGGGCGCCCGACGCCGACGCCGACGCCGACGCCGCTCCTGCTGCCGCTGCCGCTGCCGCTGCCGCTGCCGGCACTCCCGGGGCTGCTGCTGCTGCTGCTCCTGGCCGCCGCCATTGCCATTGTCTTCTGAGGCAGGAGGAAGGTTAGGCGAGGCC